AAGTGTTGTTCACCAGAACTGAGCTGGAAACGTTTGAAAATTAAATTTAATAAATTTTTTATTGAAAACCAATAAACCAAATTTTCGGTAATTTGTTAGAAATAAAGCATAAGCCAAATATTACTAAGTAATAAGCATTAAATGTTTTAACGCTTTGATTGGTGATTAGTTAACGGCCCGCCGACTTAAATTTGGCTCGTATCACTAAATGAAACTTGTTGCAACCCTTAAGATAGTGGTTACCTGAGAACCCACTGTATCAAACCTTTTCAATTGTTCCCAGTATATAATGCGAACACAACACTACAACTAAAGTAAGTTTAGTTCGAATTAGAAAAATTCTTTGCTTAAATAATTGAGCACTGAAAATTGTAGAAAGGAATAAAAAACAACTATGTACTGGGAAATTCGTTTAGAGAACCCCATATAATTTTTGCCACGTAAAGCCAGAACCAAATGCCCCAAACAGAGAAAATTTGAATAAAGTTGAAAGATCCAGTAGTGAATTTGAAGATCCAAGTTTGAGCTTCTTCCAAATCATCCACTGAAGCCTGCAAAAGTGCATAAGAAATTGAGTAACTCAGAATACGTTCCATCAAACAGCCTGCGTATTTCGCAGCAAATTACATAGGAACAAAGCTACAAAGTGAACTAAGTTTCAATCGAATTAGAAACTTCACTAGCATTTTAGAAGCTTCCAACCGCGTGACTCTCAAGCTTTGTGGACCGAAACTTACAAAATCAAATAAAAAAAGACGTAGCTTGTTCCCCCGATTAGAAAACCTTTTGAATTATTTTCAACCTTAATTTATGCAATTTTCCTGGGTTTTAGTAGTTTATTACTACATTTACAAATTAGTTCTTCAATTTTAAGACGTTTCTGTGTTTTCCACCATCCTCAGATAATCTATATAAATTTTGAGATAAGGGCAAGATTTTGGTTAGAAATTGTTTCCAGTTTTTTTTTGCCAATTTTGTCTTCAATTTTGTGTGTCTTTTCTTTAGGTTGTAAATGTAGGTAGTATAAATGAAAAATGGTATAAATTAACTTTGGAAATGCAGTCAAGAAAACGTAATGATTGAGAGTACAATATTATGGATTAAGTGAAGGAGTGCAACCTAAAGAACAGACACACAAAATTAAAGGCAAAACTGGCAAAGGAAAAATAGAAAAAGCTTCCTAAGCAGATGTAAGAATCTAGCCTTCTCTTCGTAATTTTCCTAAAAAAATCATTAAATTTATAAAGCAAAACTTTTCTAGGATAAAATAAGCGCAAATATTTTAAACGAAGAACGTTTGAACGCTCAGTGATTTTTTAAAGACGGTTGAGAACTTGAGTTTGGCCTAAATCACTAACTGAAACTTGCAAAAATGCATGAAGAAGTAACTAGCTCAGAAGCGTTTCTAACAAATCTCGTTAAGTTTTAGCAAAGTATTTTATAAGCCCATTCCTGCCGAGTTTCACTTCATTGCGAAAACTTCACGATTTGAAAACACTTATTCGATTGTCTGGCAATTATCCATGCAACATTGAACATTTAAGAACCATAAAAAAATGTGTCTAAACAAAGAGATTCATTATTTAAATCGCTTTTGTTCTGAATTATTTCTTAGGAAATAAAATTAAAAAAATAGTATTCCAATATTGACGCTCAAAGAAGCAAAACTAAGTAAATATAAAGCAACACAAGTAACTGTTTACTCTAAATCCTGGAGAGAAAACTCATAAAAATTATCCTTGGATTTAAATCTGAATGATTTTGGAAAAGCTTCCAAGCGATTGGATTCTAGTAAAATGTAAAACAAACATTCAATTTGAGTGCTGATTAACGCTCTAAAAAGGTCCGTTAAAGCTCAATAGAATTAATTAATTTTGATTATTTTATGCGAGTTAATTTTCAAATCCGGCCCTGATCAGTGCACTGCCTAAGCGAGTCAATCAAAAATCTATTTCGGGATGGTGCAGTTTTTTCTTGTAAAACACAAATAGGTTTCGGTGTTCCAAATTATTAGCTGCATTCCATCAGGATGTTTTCGGGATTTATTTTTAAATTGATGGATTTCGTTTGAACCTTCACCTTTTCGGATTCAAGAAATGCCTGTTGAGCGGCGCAGTCGATTTTCGAAAATGTTGCGTATTTCCGTTTGAAGCTCGAAGCCTTTTTCTCTTTTACACGTGGATGAAAGTAAAAACCGACAAAACCGTTAACAAAAAAGGGTGATTTAAAAAAGTTGCCTGCGATCTTCGACTTCACCCGAAGGTTCACTCGTATCTGCAAGTCATTGCTGAAATAAACAATGAATTACTTCAAACTGCGTCTAAATGTTGGATGAAAGGCTTCACGTAAAACACTTTACATTAATTTTAAAAAGAATCAAACATTCTTTGTGAAAGTTACACCATAGAAACACGTGAGCCGGAGGAAAAGATTACCAAATCAACTTCAAGGAGCCACTCGAAGAATATCAATGTCACTTGAATTACCTCTGGAGGGCCAACAGGCAAGGACATGATTGAAGAGAGGACCCATTTAGGATCAGAAAATTTACAGTTCTACAAATAGGTTCCTAAGGGCGTTCATTACATCACCAGTGCTGTAATAGAGAAAATGGCTCTTTGGGCGTGTTGGCCTTAACAGCAGGTACATTTTGTGTCTACAGAAAATGGATCAACTATTTTCTATTACAGCAAATATTGACTTTCATTCATACCATGTAAAAGTTCTTCTTAGTTCTTTATTTTATTAAAAGCTCTAAGAAAATGTGTTGGATAGTGTTGATTGATGAGTTCATTCATCGTTCGAATGGCTGTTTTCATAACTAACTCTCCTCTAACGAAAGATACAAATAATTCATAGACAGTAAAAAAACTGAAAACTGCCAGCTTCTCATTCTTCTTGACTTTCTTCGATTTTAAAAAATGAGCGTCATTTCAAAAGATTTTACCCGGTTTTTCAGTTTATTGAATTGTTCCAAACCATGCCTAACATGCATACGGTTTATCTTTCTTGCAGAGTCCTTAAATATGTCTAATCTTCTACATAAAAACGTTTTCGAACGAGACAATTGACTATTTTGAAAGATTTTAATGAATATTTTATTTTTTTTATTTAATTGAAGAATTTAATAGAAACATGCATCAGAAACAGGAATGGATATCCGTTGAAACATTGCAAGTAGAAAACTTTATATCAAGAAACCGTTTCTACCACTATTTCTACGTCTACTACAGTGTCATCAACTTGTTTCACCAGAGAAAAATTCTGTAATTTCAATCTACATTTACGATATGAGATCAAAATATTAGTACAAACAATGAAAACTGATGTTGTGAAGTGAGGTTATAGAGTGAAGTTGAGCAGTTCTAGCATACATTGCAGTTTTGTGCTAAAACTCATTGCAATCAGAAAACTTTCTTCGTTCGCGTTCGTGCTGATATCAATGCTGGCTTTCAGTGAAAACTTTTCGAATCTTTTGATCTTCCAAAGTTCTTTAGCTGCAACTTCACCATTTTTCCGCCACATCATTCGAGTGTGCAATTAAATAAACCATCAGTGCCAGCTAATATTTTGTATGGCCCTGGTATTTGGTAATCTGATCCCTTCAAATACCTGCCAAGACAGTAAAATGGGCCTAATTACTGAAGCCCAACGAAAGATTTAATGGATGGCTATTTTTGTTTTATGTCAACGGGCAAACGAGGGTTGACGGTGGGCGAGGCATCCAAAGAGGACCCGCTTCCTGTTCCTGTGTGGTGCCAAGCTGTCTGAACAGTCCGTTTTGTTTGCTTTCAGCTCTATCTCACTTGAAATGCCTGCATTTAGATGCCTTAAAATATTGGACGCCAGCGATGGAAATATGAAGTGTTTCAGCTCAGGAATTTATCGTTTATGGGCTTATGTTTGGCTCTTTTACTATGTGAAACTGGCAAATAGACAAAAATGGTGTTAACCTGAATCAGTTCTACTTGTGACTCTATTTTGGAGAACGTTTACTCTGTTTGTATGTCTACTCCATTTCTGATCCAATAATATACCCAATTTGTACTGCTAGAGGAAAGAAAAGTGCAGATAATCTGATGAGTATTTATTTTCGATTGTTCATTCTAGGGGATGATTTATAAATTGAGGTTTTTCTTGTTAAAGTGCACTGGGTTTGGGCAGTTGGTAAAAGTATAAGAAAAATTTACAGAAAATTTTAAAAATATTTAATCATAATGTTCGTTAGTAGCTGTATGAAAAGTTCTCTAAGATTTGGCTTCTCCAAAACTATCGTTTTTTTGGTTTCTCCAAAACTCCAAAATGTTAATTGTGCGTTCCAAGCAAGGCCAAACAATATTTTCAAAGCAACACCGCCAATTTCGCCGCCAAACTACTTTCTGCTTTTTGGAGAAGGAAAATACTTTCAGCAATTAGATTTTATTAAGCTAATCGCCTTAAGGGATCAATAGTTCCCATTTTCAAAGACTTAACTAGAGATAGTTTGTGACGGTTAATTTTTGAATTTAACTAGCGGTCCACCTGTCTGCTAGCTCGTAAGTTGGATTAAGGCCTGAATTGTGTTAGTATTTTGTAGTCAACCGAAATTGGTAAAGAATTTGTTGAGTTAGGGATTATTTTATTCTTAATATCATTTATATTTAGTAAACCGTTTAAATCAGTGTATCTCGCTCCCAAATATCAGCAGTCTTTGTCGTGGTTCCGTCTGGCAACATGGTTATTGCCCTTCCTTCTGCTGACCAGCGTTTTGAAGGGAAGGGACGAAAAATCGATCCAAGAAAGCAGAACCAACGAAGGGAATGAAGTACAAGTCTTCAAAATAACCAGTCGACACAGTTTTGCCAGTCCCAGCGACCGTCCAAGCCAGAGACGTCCATCTTGGTCCAGTTTTTTT